ACACACCCAATTGGTCAAGTGGCGTTTCCGGCGTCTGCTTTTTCATCGTGATGCGCATGGACATGCGCCATTTTGTCATGGTGCTGTCGACTGCCTACAGCAGTAAAGCCATTCCTCGTCCCAATAATTCATGAAGCCGGTGTGGTGATCGTTCGTTCGCTGTGAACTTCAGAAAGAGCCTCGCTATCACTCAGGACAGGGAAGATAGCAAACTCGCGCCGTTCAGCGGCGGTCGCTGAGTCATCCGTGTAGGCCTAACTCACGTACGAACCGGTCGGTCGTCGACAACGTAGCTGGAAGCGGCAGTGTTTTGGAGCTTCAACAGTTACAGGACGGCAAGTAAAAAAGCAGAAGTGAAGCTACGAGAGATATCAATCTTTGCAACGATGGAACGGAAGCGCAGTCTTATCGCTGAACGCGCCGATGCCGCGGGTTCCCCCCGTCTGACGTGAACTGCGTGACGGGTCGTCAGAGTGAAGTTCGCCGCGCGTCGGCAAACAGAAAATCAATCTGTTTACGGTGAACGTGCTCGCCGCCAGTGCAATGAAGGCTACTGGAAACAGGTAGAGTGCTTGTAACGACGTGTCCGCAACGATGAACATATTGCGCCATGACCTCCACTCGAAAGTGTGGCAATCTTACGTGAAAAGGAAACTAACACCTCTCCAAGGAAACTAGCCCTTGGAGCCTTGAAATTGATGAGCGAGTGCACGAGTTCGGTCTCCGACATTAACAGCTCAATCTAGACAAGTCGGAAAACTGCTTTATTATATGACGGATCGCGGATTACGCGCGCACGTTCGTCGCACATAGGCGTCACCGAACTGGTAAGCGGCCTAGTCGGCAGACGAGCCCAAGGCGACCGCATCAGCTCGCAAGTGTGCCTCTGCGGAAAACATGCAGCGGGCATTGAAAAAACGCCATTTAGGTGACACAAAACATAAGGATTACATGCCTGGTGCCTACTGAGAAAGGTGAATATGCAAATCATTGTAAATAAACAGCTTTTCCATGCTACTGTCTGCCCAAAATGGACTTGTTGTGTTTTTGCATAATTTCTCAGGATTCAAATTCTGCTGCTGTTGCAGACTTGTCTAAAAGATATCTCTGCCTCCAGAGCAGCTAGTACTGTCATTTTCGTTGTGATATGTAGCTGTATCTTTAGTTTACACAATGGTAGGTGTGAATTTTTTATTGAGATCTCCAAAAAATTTTATTTTTGCCGGAATTTGGAGCATAAAGTGGGTGTGTCTGCAACACTGAAATGCAAGGTGCAACAAACCCTTGCTAAAATTATCAAATTAAAAAAAGCACTCCTACCGTTGTGTAGCTTATGTTCATTAGTACACAGGCATGTGCCAATAGTAGCTCTGCAATACAAATTTCTCTTGTAATTTAGCAGCAAACAACAGCTATTTAATTTTAGCATATCTCAAAAACTAATTAGTTTAGAGGAACAGTAATTACATTTTTAAAATCAGCATCAAAAACTCAATCACACTGCAAAATTCTTTATAAACACATGAAAATATCTGGCACTTCCTCTCAAGTACAATGTCCCTTCTTAAAGGGGGAGGCGGCATTAAAAAAAAAACTTTTTTGTTTGTTGAGCTACAGCAATAAAATTTGGCATGCTTACTCACAAGTGTCGCGAATAAGGAAATATGCAGTTTCATCATGATACCGTCAGAATTTCTCAAGTTACATAATGCTACACGATCCAATTACATGGTCTGCTCGTGGAAAGCCTAGCACTGTAACAAAACATGCCAGGAAGCTGCGAATGGTGTTGATCTTCACTCAAAAGAAAGCTACAGGGTATGGCACTCTCAGAATTTTTTAATAAGTTCTCTCTTTTTTTTTAGAGATCATCATGGCTGCCGACACACATTGTCAGAAACAGTGGCATGGACAAATCATCATCTAGAAAAAAAAACAGGGCCATAAAACAGAAATTGAAGATTGCTGTACCCACAAGCAGCATTCAGGGATTCAGGAAAAAAAAAACAGAATCAAAATCGGTCCGGTCACTCCCGTGCTACTCTTTCCACGAGCAATGCACAATGTCTAAAACACACTTGTGAGAAAAAGCCTGTCGAAGTTTTCAACAGGCTTTTCCGATGAACTTTATAGTTTCTCGTTGGATATTGATGGAAACTGGCACAGACACTAAGAATCACCTCACAGTGCTTCCATAAAAATTTTGAAGTGATACCAGGAATACTTTACGAGAGACAAATTATTTCTTCGTTGAACCACGTGGAGGGGCTGAGCATAATGTAAAAAAGAACAGTATTGAGAAAACAGCAATTAAAGTTTCAACTTTTCTTTACGCCTCTAAGACACCTAAATTGTGATCTCAGATTTGTCTTGAGATATTTCACTTTTTTCCATGATTTCTATCTTTTCATGATTTACAAAGAACAATCATGGATTTCAAACCAAGTTCTTTGTATGAAGGAGAGATGTGATAGGTATGACAGAACAGACTGTAATTGAATAAGACCATATACTGAAATGATTAACCATATTTCTAGCGCTGAAATTGCAATTAGTGTAATTAAGTACTTGATTACAAATAATCACTGAACATTTCTTTATATGGAGTGAGGTTTATTACATCAGAAAAATAGATCACACCATGACGGCCTATGCCTTCTTTCCAAATAACGAAGTTATGAGCAGAAGACTGGTGGCACAGGAATTTTTAGCAGTATAATTAATGACGCGAAACGGGCATATAAAAATTCGTGCCCCTGATTCATACATGCTCTTTTGCCGCTCTAGCCAAGAAACGCATCATCATACAGCCGGTCGCGAAAACTCTAATCTAAGAGGCTTTCATTGCCTCAGGACATTCATAGACATTTGTGGCGATATCAACCACGGCTCCAAAGCACGTCTAAATTGCATTACAAAAGCTTATTGACAGCACTCCATATGACCGTGGGGTGCGCAGCCGTGTGAACAGTGCAGCCGGCCCGTAATGCACTTGCCGGTGGCGTTCGGTGACGATGCGCGAAATGTGCAACTACAATGACAAAAAATTGGCGCGCACTGCGCTTGGCATCGCATCGCAGTGGCGACGCACGAAACTGCTAGCCGCTCTTCCGAGCAATCCTTGGCAGCGAAGGGGGAGGGGGGGGGGGTGACGAGCTTAACTGTGGTGTCCGCTGTCGATGAGTAAAATGCCTGTACGTGGTTCAGAGGAGCTAGCGAGTGATGTGCTTCATTCCTTGCGAAGAAGCAGGTCGCCAAGAGTGTGCTTACCCGTCGTTCCTGCCCGCAGTATCGCTGTCAGCGGAGTTAGGGCTAAAGCCGTCTCCGATGGCGCGCCGCTCGTAGTAATCTCATCGTGCATACAGTGCGGCCACTCGTAGTAATCAGATCGTGCCACCGCTTACAGCTTCGCTGCTTGCGAAGAAGCACGTGACCACGAGTGCGCTAGTGCGTCGTTCCTGTCCGCAGTCTCGCTGTCGGCGGAGTTAGGGCTAAAGACGACTCCGATAACGCGCCACGCTTGTAGACCGCGCGCCCTCTCGTAGTAACCTGATCGCGCATCTGCTTACTGCTCGTAACTAAACCGTAATTATATCTTAAGTGATCATCAAGCTGTGAACACGTCACGAAGTAGCGATTTTCGAGAGCCATGTTCTCGCCACGCACAAGCAGCAGTCGACGATCTCCTGGAGCGAGCATAGGGCCAATGGCGAGGCAAGCTGAGGCAACATGGTGGCCACAGCCAATCAAGGGCCTCAAAACGACCTTCATACATTTGCTTTTTGTGCGCTTGTTGTTAAAGAGAGGAGCCAGGTGAGGTGGGAAAGATAAACCAGGAGAAATGCTCTTTCCGATGAGCCCAAGAAGCCGGCTACCGGCCCAAGCATAGCGAAGCTATATTTTTTTAAACATGGCTGTTTTCTCACCATTTCCAGAAAAACTTTCGCTACCTTGTTGGGTGAAACAAATTTCCCGAAGCACTTCTGCGCAGTTTTCAGTGTAGATATTTTGAAACAAGATAGAAAAAGGGTTCTAGAAACTGAAAACTGGAGTTTCAGAAAATAGATTTTTTTTGCCATTTTTCGCGATCCCGAAGCCGCGTCCCCCCTTAAAAAATACGTCACGAGATTGCAGATACCGAAGGCCATGCTTTTCAGGCTCGCATACCATTGTGCGCTAACCAACAACGAAGGAAATGCGAACCACATGCGAACATTGCACTGAGATCTTCGAGTCATTTCGCATTCTCTTTCAGTGCCCTCGGCAATCGGTCTTTTGGAAAAACACTATGCCCGCGCGGTAAAACCTGCAGATTGCCCATTAAACGTACCGATGTACACGCAAGTGCTGCGTCACGAACCAGATCAGCGCGACGAAATGATGTCGCCTGAGTGTGAAAAAGGATCGAAACTTGTTAGAACGTGGCCTAAAATTTATCAATATTTGCTAGGAAAAATGCACTTTCTGGGCTTCGGCGCGGCACAGCGTTAGATATAGCAGATGTCCTGCTGTGCGGGAGTTCGATATACGGGTGCACCGGTCCCATACCTTTGCATGGGAAATTCAAGGGAATTTTTCAACTGTTCGATATAGCCAATAATTCTATATATCCGAGTTTAATAAATCCGGATCGACCGTAGCTTGGTCCTACTAAAAATGAGCAGGCACTGACTACCATATAGTGATCAGGGAAAAAAAGAAAGCAGTGAATAGGTCTGAGGGCCTTTCGTAGAAATCATATGCAAAATGAAACATACCAGAGTCGGCTTAGAAGAAGTATACTGTACTTAATTAAATTAGTTCTTAATCTAAATTTTTCGTTACTTTGGTTTTTAATTCAGATTACAAGGTACTCTACAATTAGCCTCTGGTCACGACATGCATATGCACTGTTTAATGACATCCAACTCTCATTAACCTAAACTCATTCGTTTGTGCACTGGTAATAAGTGCTAAAAGTGTGACACAAAGCAGCGTCTGCCACTGTGTGCAGGCATCACCTGGGAAAGCAATTCAGCCCCTTCACCAGGCAGGTTGAGGCCACAGACGCGCGTGAACAGATCCTTGGGGCTCAGGACGTCAGGTAGGCCTTGTCTTTGGAAGAACTGCACAACGCAAACACATTGATTCAGTTCGGCACTATAAGAAGACATGCACAAATGTCCCGCACATTTAGACAATGTCATCGATTACGGCACTGCTATATGTTTGGTGTTTCCTTTGGTTTGAAGCTTGGTACAGTTCAACCCCTTTATAAGATGCATGCTCCAGCAGCAGTTTTTGTCTTTTATATGAGATGTCTCTTATAAGCAGGGTACCTTGTAAGCATCTTTTTATCAAACCACATTTTACTGTATAGGCACACTGGTGTCTCTTATACCATTTGTCTCCTATATGACTGTCTCTTATAAAGGGGTTGAACTGTATTTGGAACAAATGATCGATAACTACCATCAAATGTGTTTTCTGAGCTGAGTAAGCAGCACTAAAAACTCCTCTTATCTAATACAAGAAACAGATAATAAACAAGAAACAAGTGAAGATATCTATCCTCTCCCTTGAAGTGCATCCACCGAAAAAAGTTTCGTATATTCTGTACAAAACCACAACATAGACTGCACAGGACCGCTACCGATATGCAACCAACACTGATTAGACCTAGCCTGCGCTTTCGCGTGTCGCGAGAAGTTTGTCCAAGACACAAAGATTGGGTGTCGAAAAGAGCGCACTCAAGCACTGAACTAAGAAGAGTGAACGTGTTACGAGGTTTCCATTTGCAACTGGGAGATCAACGACGATAAAAGTCCACGAAGCTTATGTAAGACCGTGCATTGCCGGCAAAGGCTAAAACTCACATGATAAAACCGCAAAAGCTTTAAATTTTACCAATGAGGTGGCAAACGCCATATCTGTAGCAAGCTCAATAAATACCGTATTTACTCGATTAATTGGTGCACTCGCATAATAGGCGCACCCCTAGTTTGGTCGCGGAAAATACGATTTTTTTTAATTCCGCGCATAATAGGCGCACCCCGAACTTGGCCGTGATCAGAAACGATTCTACCCCACAGCGGTACAGTTGGAACGCGGTCCCCGTACCCTGAAGAAAAAAAGAAGGCAAATCGACGAGCAAATAAAAAAAATTCGAAGTGCAACGACCTAACCAACGTGTTTGTCGAAATAAAACTTGAAAAAAAAAAAAAGCGTCCATGAGCGGAAAAAAAAAACGGCTGTTCCATCATTTATTGATACCCCCTTAATCGCCGCGCTTTTTGGAGGTCACGTGTACAACGCCGGGGGCTCGATCGCCGTCACCACCTTCAGAGAAAAAGAAAGAAACGCCATTTTGCAAGCGGTGTGCGTATGTTGTGGTCGTGTATTGAACTTTGGTTCCACCATGGGGAAGTACGCGAGCTACACGGCTGGGTTTAAACTGAAGGCAGTGCAGTACGTGCTGGAGCACGGCAACCGGGCTGCAAGCAGGCATTTTGGCGTTGGAGAAACCAGTATTTGGTACTGGTATCTCGAACGCACTGGATGCGAGTGAGGATGACATGTTGTGGGGTGCGGATGATTCGGACACCGAAAACGAATCCCCGCTCGACGAGGATGAATGTGTGATCTTGGACTTGGACTCCGAATAGGGAAAAGGAGGAACAGCTACGACTTTTGTGTAAATAAATTTTACGTGTGTGTGTGCAGTTGACGGCTCTCGCTTGTTCATTAAAAGGTACGTAGGTATGTTTGTTTTATGCTGAATTAATTGGTAAACGATAAAGTCGCCTTTTACTTGACAAGTGTGCAGATTTAAAGCGCGAGAACCGAGTTGAAAAAATTTTCGAAAATTTTACCCCGCGTAATTGGCGCACCCCTAACTTCGAGCTGGATTTTCTGAAAAAAAAGTGCGCCTATTATGCGAGTAAATACGGTATATGATGCTCTTCCCGACAGGAAACTCTAAACGCAGTTCACGAGAATGAGTTTGCACATGTAGGGCGATTCGCTCGCAGGATTTCAAGCTGGACGGTTGTGCCCTCGCGATCTCCGACTTCAGCGTAGCTCCCGCCGACTGGTTCGCCCTCCGCGGTCTCCTGAAGCCGTGCAGCTCTCGCATTGTGGCACCCCGCCCTTGGACTGCTTCGACCGGATCCCCACTTTCCTATCTCCTTCTTTTTCTCTCTCGTTGGCTGGCTTCTTCTCCATCTATTTTCCTTCTATTCTTTTTATCCCTGCTTCTTTTTCCCTATATCTTTTATTCCCCTTATCCCATTCCTCTGCTGACCTGTTGAGGTGTCCTCGTAAGGAGAGACAGTTACGGGTCGGCACCTTTCTTCTTCTTTTCTTCTGTTATAACCACTTATATATATGTAGGGCGGCACGTGGCCGGCAAGCCAGAAAGCAGCAAAAGTGGTAGCCTGGTAGCCGCGCTGATACAAATGTCCATCCGTCGCCTAGGCAACTGCCCTCCTCATTCACTGAGACTGCACAGCGTGCCACAGTCTTTGTTTCTTTTTTTGTTTCCTCCTTCTTCTCTTCCTTCAGCGTCTCCTTGTTTTCTGTAACGAACTTGTCACACCTAGCGCACCTCCTTCAGAGGTGCACTTACTAACGCGCTTGTCACAAAAGATTTGCCGGAAACCGCGTTATAACCAGTCTTTCATCTTAGGGGACTGCACAATAAGTGGTATGCGTACAAGTGCGGTTCCATGCGAGGTAAACGGCAGTTGAAAAAAACGCATTGTAACAGGTCTTGTACTATAGGCGGTTAAATCATAAGTGTTCTGCACTGTAAAAGATCTGCACTGTAATAAACTAACACCACTTTTGGACAGCTGACCAAAGTCTTGTGGTGAGTGGTCAGAGAGATGGCTGTGACACAGCCACACAGCTCACCTTAGACACATTGGTGCAGTCTCTCAGGAGGAACTCGAGCGCGTGCGGGTGCATGCGGTCTACGGCCTGGCTCACGTCGATGATCACCACCCGGCCCTGGTGCCATAGCAAGTTGTACTCGCTTAGGTCCGCATGCACCAGCTGGCAGCAGTCGTACAGGTCGCTGGCCAGCTGCACTGTCTGCGCATACGCGCTCTCCAGTTGCTCCCCCACCAGAGCTGCCTCTCGCAGTTGTGGGGCTGGCACACCGTCCACACCCACGAATGACATCACCAGCAGGTGCTTCTTGAGCAGCACCACTGAAGGACAGGGCAGACCGGCACGCTCAATCCTGCAAATGTGCAAATGTGCAATAAATTTCAAGATGGTGATGAAAACTATTTTTCTTATTACTGGGATGAAATTAGGCACGCTGATGATTTTTGATTCTGATATCAAAACTTGAACTGCTTTTTAGCTACCTGTTATAATTCTTGAATTAGAGCCAAATTTCTTTATAACGAATTCCGCTACAACAAAATTTTCGTCACAAAGAATAATTTTTCCATTCCCCGTCAGCCGCCCCAAAAAAATGAGGTGAAAAATGTCTCGTCCCATCGCATAGCTTTCCTGGATATCTTCGCTTTAATGAAGTTTCCGTGAGTACCACCCCCATAAGAAAAAGAACTTGCTTTAGATTGCCACGAAATTCCAATACCAACTCGGCCATTTCTCAATGGCTCATCACATCCAGAGCGCACGGCCATATCGAAACAACCGTGTTTTCATCGAATACACGCTTTCTGCCATCACAAGCACCTCCCGCTAAAGTTATCGCCACTGAGATGCTCGGCGACAGCGCGCCCATTCCCCATAAAGCTGCCGATGAATTTGATGCACATGCGGGCCGTGGGAGAATCCCGATCTTCAAGAATCCCTGTCGTACGTCGCGTTCATGACAAAACTACCGCTTGTCATGACTAGCCCTGCGATCGTGAACGACAACCATGCGTTGTGACGGCACACACGTGAGCGGTGCGCACCTGGTCCCAACATAACTGCATTCTGCTGCAACTGCTGCATAAACAAATGGGGTCGAGTCGATCGCAATCATGGGCGACTACGAAAGTATGCACGTAGTCAACTGGCACCGACTCAACCCAATATTTCTTGCCGTAACAATGCGAACAAAGATAGCAACGATGCAGTTCTTAAGTCCCGTGCATGGCCAGTGCAGCGTGCACAGCTTAAAAATGAAACTTCTGTTTGCCACAACCACTGCACAGGAAACAGCGATCCCTATCATGTTGTTCATCAATACCGAGTACAATCTGAAAGTGTGCAGCTAACATAGCCGTAGATTAACGGCAATAAAGCCATAAAATTACATGAAGCATTACGGCTTTCTTGTCGTTCACTTATGGCCACGGTAGTGTAAAACTTTCTCGCTTTCAGTTGCACTTACCAGAGGGCCTCTAGCAAAGCTTTGGCACACTCGTTCCTGGCACTGCGCAGTCGGCCAAGGTTTGTACAGGTTTACAATGCGAAAATTCAAGGATATTCAAGGACCTGTTGCAACTTCTTCAAAGACTCAAAGTGGCATGCTAATTCGAAATTTTTAAAATAAAAAAAATTACCAATTTTATTGCACTTACAATAAATATACGGATATTCCAATTATCACCAAAAAAATCTCTTCTAACTTCTTGCACCCTCTTCCTCACTCTCAATAAGAAGAGGGCACGATGCCATGTCAGAAAGTTATGCGCTGACGGGCTTCAACGCGTATGCGTAGTCAGGCCTTAAATGGGTGGTGCCACAATACTTGTGGCTTGCGCGCTCTTTGCTGCAAGCTTTAATTATAGCTCTAATAAGCACGATACACCCACCAAGATTCATTTATTCTCGCTATATAATTTGTTGCCTTTTTAATATGGACAATTTTCAGTTCCTGTTTGTGGAGACCGAGTTAAGCAGCTACATAGCAGTGTAGCTGACTTAATCACGTGATAACAAAGCTTTGCACGCGTCATGCTGAGTATTGTCAGCTCTCGCAAGCATGTGCCACATAAACACCTGCAAAACAAAAGTGTCGCTAGCTGCAGCAGCCACGATGCTTTGCCGGTATGTACAGTATCATTTTTTATGAAAAGAAAGACGTGAGTGCAAGGCCTGCACTCTGCTGCTGCTGCCTACAGCCCCATCAGCCAACAGATAATGAAAGCGCATCCACTTTTGGCGACATCACCTGTTGTGACACCAGAGCAAGGCACAGTTTAACAACGCTTTTCCAACGGTCATGACTAATTTCATTTGTTAACAGATGACGCAAAAGCCGATGCACCTTTTTTATTTGTCGGTTGATGGTGGTGTAGGCAGCCGCGACAGAGCACAGGCCATGTGTTTGTGTGTTCTTTTCCATAAACATTTGCACTGTTCGTGGCAAAAGTCCGGAGGTCGCTCCCCTGACTATACACCTGGTCGCTACAACCTTTCTATAGAGCTACGTGAGTATTGGACGCGCTCGCGATGGGCCTCGATTTAAAGAATGAGTATATAGGTACACTTGGGGAGTGACTTAAAATATATTCTAAACATTTCCGAAGTCCCACAATTCATGAGGAGTGTCCTTGCTTGGAGAAAACCCACACGGTGCTTGCTATAGCCTAGAAATTTGATAGTGCCACCCCATTTAGAGCGCTGGCTAGTGCACAGTTGACACTTGCCGCACGTTGCTCAACAACCAAGAAGTAACAATGTGACAGTGGTTAATTTACACTCATCCTGTGGATACATGTGTTCTTTTCTAGCATCATTCTTGGTTTGTCTAAGCAGCACGCTTCCAGTGTCGAGCTGTGACAAATGTTCATAGGCACTTGTCCTGTCCACTTTCCTTTCGTGCGCTCTTTGTGCTTGAGCGGCGCGTTGCATGTATGGGTTTGCTTGCCCTTCTTCGTGTGACATTGTAATTTCTTGCTATCACATTCAGCTGCTTCACCCTCACCACGAAACAAGGATTTTTTTTCTTCACATGCATTTTTGTAAACACCGCATTACTGCTTCGGAAATGGGGAGCTTGACAGGTTGACACACCTATCTACCACATTTGGGAGGTGAGGTCGCGATGTCGATATGAGAGTGCACTGCTCATGAAATTCAAGGATTTTCAAGGATGGGGAAAAATTCCAGGACTTTCAGGCTTTGAAAATGCATTTTTCAAATTTAAAGGTTCTCAAAGATTTCAAGAACCTCTACAAACCCTGTTGGCAAGCCCCAAGGGTCATCTGAATATCGAATTTTCTTCTGTATAACCCACCCCTGCATATAACCGCCCCGGCCACGAACAGCGAGAAGAAAAAAAAAAGCTACCTGTCAAGGCTGCCTTCTCTGCATTGCCGTACAGCCGTACCGCGAAGCCAACTTGTGCGACAAAATTATCGTATAACTTGCACCCCGACTTCAGCTCCAAATTTTCTGTATATTTTGATCACGTTATACGTGAGAAAATACATTCACTCAGTGTCCACGTACCAATGAGTTCATGAGCGTTCAATGCATGCGCTTGCAGGGACCAAAGGACGAGTCATAATTTTACCAATTTCGTGGTCTATTGATAAAATTTCGCTACAATGAAATTCCGCAACAAATTTTTTCATGCATCCCATCAATTTTGTTGTAGTGGGATTTGACTGTACAACTATTCATAGGCTAGCAGTGTAATCCTATAAATAATGATTACATTAGACATTCGTAAACATTCTTGCTTAACAATATTCCCAAAAGCCCATTCGATGCCGTAAAGCTAGAAGTTTAGTTTTCTATCTTCCAATAAGCAGGCAATTATTTTAGAAATGCCTTGTATATGTTGTATTAATTGAAAATTTTTTGAAGAGCCAATTACAAAAAACTGCATCATGTGGATACAAAGACAGCGTCATGACACTCACCAGTGTCTCAAGACCTAAGTGCAACAAAGAGAAGTATTTTATCTTCACTTTTCATCAAATGACACAGGGGTTACTAACAGCAACTACACAAAAATTGAAAACTAAAAAAACAGGGCGGAAAAAAAAGGAGTTTAAGGGGAGATGCAAGTAAAAAAACACAACTTCAAAAAGAATCAAATTTCTCATTTTTATTAGCTTTGACAAGTATAGCATTTCTTTTCAGGACAAGAAAACTGAAGATTGCAATTCAACTCAAAGTAGGTTAAAATCACTTTCAAAGAGCTCAAGGTGGCTACTAAAACTAAAAGGAGCTCATTTTCGAAATTGTCACCTGGCTACTTTGCCACTGCAATTTGCATGAGGAGTTTACTAAAGCCACATGCTGAAAATAACCATGATTGTCATGCTGTCATGATGATAGAAATCATCTAGAAAAACATCTCTTCTACATAAATGACCTTTCACTTGTACCTTTGAAATGCCTTTCCCAAGATCGATTTTTGGGCAACTTCTTGAGTTTAGACATCATATTTTTCGTATCTCTGATAGTCCGATAGGGATGATATTTTACCCACATATTTCCTTAACGTGCGAAGGGTGCAAGTATTTTTTTTAATTTGTTATCACCTACCGTCTAACAATTAGATGGGCTGAGAATATTGAAAATCTAAAATGAACTATTAGTATGGGCTGAGAATTCATCTTCATATTACAATTTTTCTTGTCTATTAAAATGTCTTATAAACACTTTCTTGATAGTTATTTGCATTCTACAGTTAATGTAGGGAGCCATTATTGGCTGAGAACCATAAATGTCCGGTAGCAGAAAAAGTTGTCCAAAACCAACTATACATTACACATTGTCATGGCAAAAAACGAAAACTGCACAACTCAATATAAAACTAAATACATATTTGAAATCTGCATAACAACCTATATATATACAGCAAAAATCTCTTCACACTAGGCTACAAATTAATGCAGATTCTTTTCCGAATCGCATCTCCCTTTAACTCTCTCGTTGCCCCGCCTATCCAAATCGATCACCGGTGATCGACGCTTTGAATCATCGATTTTGGCATGCTGCATTTGTTTCTCGGGCACCCAGCACTTTCTACTAGTTAGTCTTACCACTCAACTTTCAGAATCAATTTGAATTTGCCCGTTTCGGCAACATAGGGATTTTTGACAAACATTTGCGTGAACCAATGTGCCTGTATTGTTGGAAAAGTGCACTAGGATGGGGAACTTGACAGAATGGTGAGCCCCTCGTGATTATGGTACAGTAACATCGAAGTTCTGTAATGAAAAGAACCCTTGCAAAACAAATATCACATTAAACTGTCAGCTTCGCAATTTGACTATTTTGAGCAGTAATTATAGCCAGAAATTTATGCCATATATT